AAGCTGTGCGAAATTTCAGTACAAACACTCAAACAACCAGGTGTAGAGTCAGTTGGACCGTGATTCTATCAGATGATTCAGATAATTCCATCAGATACTTCAATGTCCGCAGCTCAACACGTTCAAAGTGATTCAGCTACAAAGCTGCGTGTATAAGCTCATTGATAGCGAAGATTAGTCAAGCTTCCGTATCGGGCAAATAAACATGAAGCATCACCCGGTCGTACGTCATTAAGTCCTTCTAAGCATGTTTGTTCAATAGGTGCCCCAGAAGTTCATGAACACAGTCAGGACTTTGGATTCACTAGTCCGAGTGTATAAAGAGTAGTTCTCAACAAAAATGGAAGCCCAACAAGGGTTACATTGATTACTTCTGCTTAACTTCACCATTAGTGGAGTAATGAGGGGAACAGCCATTCTTCGAAATCCGTGTTCAAACTGTTGGGATTTTGTCAATCCGAGGCACGCAAACGACTGTCCAAGTTAGCAAAGACGGATAGACTGTACAGACATCATAACACCTTTCGATACGCGGCTGGCGACCACAAATTGCAAGGCAATGCTTTATAATGAGCAAGTTCTGAATATGCTCCATGCATGAGGTTGTGGAGAGTTGTACACGCATCGACACTGATGTGGCTTTGAGGGAAGTGCAAGATTCGGACCACGCTTGCCGATCTGCATCACTTTTGGGATCCAAAAGACAAGCTAGTGCACTCCAGCGATCGTTTGTACGAGGAAGTGGTAAGGGTGATTTCGCAATATGGTTGCGACACTTGGTATCTGCCGGCAGGTGCGACATTTAATACCTTCATGGTATTAAACGTCAACAAATTCGTAATAAGGTAGCCGAACAGGGTGTTTAGTTGGATAGCAGGAGAGCATCCAGTACCAATGAAGGTTCGGCCATGCCGCGTATGCCTGAGTATTGTCTGCTTAACCGGATCGCTTTGAGCTTCCGACGCAAGCTGTTGAATGGAGACGCAGTGACAGATGGGAGAGGTTACAAATTTTTCGCCATGCGTGTAACCCGCCTTCCAGGTTGCAGCGACCCTCTCCGGTCGTAGTTAGGTGTGTTGCACACGGCGCCTGAAGGTTTTCAGTGACGTCCCAGACCCGTGGCGTCTACTGCCTGGAGATACACTAAACAATGCTAAACTAGTCAATATTATTACCGCTATTCAGACCTACAACCTACTACCTCCAATCCAGAACCCTGGCCTTCAACAGAAAAGTGGACCGTGAATATGGAGCCGCCTTCAGTCTCACGTGTCCGAGTGTATTTCTCTACTCTAGCGTCATCGTGCTGCTGGCCCTGACGACCTTTCAGCTGCTCTTTTCAAGGATGGCGGTGGGCTCCTAAGCCAGGACCTGTCTAGCCTCATCATTGTCATCAAAGACAGCAACATCAGTGTTGGCACTGATGCTTCACTGCCGTACATCCATGAGGTAGAAGAGAAAGGGTGGGTGAAGGGGGGACCTAAAGCTGGTCTATGTCAAGCATTCTGAGATGCCTACACCTCCAACCGATCAAACAATCTGGAAAGGAACTGACAGCACGAACGACACTGTATAGCCTATTTGGGTCTACCTGGAAGGAGACCGTCGCAGACAACTGGGGTGAATCGAAGGTAGTGCCCATTTTCAAAAATGGTACTAGCAGTGAATGTAGTAACCAGAGAGGTTAGTTTGATGCCTGTTGTAACAAGGCTTCTGACATCACTGATTTTTCGTCGAAGCCTTGACTCGTAAGGATCAAGTGGAATTTCGACCGGGTAGAGGCTGTGTTGACCACATCTTCACACCCCGTCGGATGTTAGAGCAACGCTACATGTGCAGACGACCCACAATCCTGGTATTCCTTGACTTCAAGGGTGCATTTGATTCTGCTGATCGATCAGTGCTGTTAACCACACTTGCTCAACAGGGTATACCGCAGAACTTTTTAAACATAATCCGATCCCTATATTCACAAGGGTGCAATTCTGCTGATCGATCAGTGCTGTTAACCACACTTGCTCAACAGGGTATACCGCAGAACTTTTTAAACATAATCCGATCCATCCCTTCACACACCTGTGGGAGGGTGAGCTGTATGGTGAGCTATCCCAAAGCTTCCTACATAAAGAGGTGTCGGACAAAGTTGTCCACTGAGCTCTTGTTCAACTTCCTCATTGATGAAGGAATGAGGTGAACGCTGGATGGTCTTCAAAACCCCGGTGTTGAAATCGTTGCTGGTGAGAACCTTGTCGATCTTGAGTACGCAGATGACATCGCCCTTTTGAATAGACTGACCACCATTATACCATCTTTCGGCGTGCACCTTGCACATTCAAAGCGCAAAGTCATGCTTCAGAACGTGCAGTCTTTGAACATATCCCTTAAAATTCAAGGAGAATCACTGGAGATTATGCAGAACTTTACATGCCTCGGTAGTTGTATTAGCTCTGAAGCTTGTCTTATGAAATCAGTGCAAGAATCTCAAAGGCTCGCATCATGTTTACTTGGTTGCGTCACTTGTGGCGTCAAAAAGGCAATCCTACGGGTCCTGTGTACCAGGCTACAGGCTATAGCGCGTGACCTTACGGAAAGGCGTGAAAGAAACCACAAAGTGTTTGGGTATTGTTAGTGTTGTACGCCTTCCAGAATGGGGTTCCCGTGACCCCTCCTGTGCTTGGTGGAGACGTTGCAAGAAATGGCGGCCAACCGATGTCATTGGCGTTGGTGATGTTTTTTCCAAATTGTTCGGTTGAGCGGCTGAAGGTGTAGGCACCTCAGAATGCTTGACATTGGCCAGCACTAGGTCCGCTCCCTCACCCACCCTTTTCCTCTTCTTTTCACTCTAGGGCTTTCAATGGGAACCTTAGGGTTGTACGGCAGTGATGTTCCTGTCTTTGATGATGATGGTCATTCAGACCTGCACAGTTAAATAATGTCGCACGACTAGGTAGTACCAAACCGAAGTCCATTCGGCAGACCAGTAAGCCAACGTAGTGGGTAGACTCCCTAGATAATTGCATATCCCGGAAGGCTGACTGAAGACGAGGGTCACTTTCGACGCCTGCGGCATCAAGTTGATGCCACTTTGTCTGCCAATGTCAGTACGCACCACGATTGTGCGGAAATGACGGAAACATACGAAAATATAGCTTTTGACCACCATCTACCTGAAATTAGCCAGAAAGCTTGGCAACCTCATAATCTACAACGCCGAGACGAGCCAGTTGGATTCAAGGAACAGGCCCGCAATGGGAACTAATGAAGAGCCATCGCTATGCTTTGCATCGCATGACGTTTTACCGGCAGCTTTCTAGTCAAAGTTAGCAGTCCATAACTTGGAACCACCGTACGAAAGCTTACTAGTAATGTCAGTCGAACTACCGTTCGCCTGGATAGACAATCCAGGACCCGGTTCGTCTGTTGAGTGACGATGACACACTTCAGTCATGTAATCAGCGTCAGTCACATGTTAAAGCAATTGCATCCGATTCAGTGCCGCTGTGTCTACAGTACGACGGACCTACAACGATTCCGCATATTAGGCTATCGTCTCTAAAGACTGGCCATTTCTCTTTTGGGCCTCCAATTAACCGTTTGGCATAAGATGCAGTGTCGTACAGCTAACTAGAAAGGGTGCGATGGGTGTTGTTAAAAAGAGCTGCCAACAACAGAAAGCCTGATATTTACGTACCGCTCATTTTCGACAGCCTGAGTTTGGCAGATTCCAGCTGGTTGAGCATGTTCGGGAATAGGTCGGTGAGTGCTAAAACAGTTAGAGTGAGCAATCAAGTCATTCTAAAAGTACGCTTTGTTTCCGCCTGCCCTGATACGGCAAACACGTTGGCTTGTGGTGAAGCTTGAACCTTCGGATTCTTGAAATGTATTAAAGTCCCATCGGCTTTATACATATTCACCTTAAGTCAGTTAACGCGACACTAAACTGAAAACATACCTCCTCAATCGTTGGTATGGTGTTGAGGTTCAGTTTTTTTAGCTCGCTTTGGAGCTTCTTATCATCGACAGCAGCGTTCTTGTGAATAACCTTCTTCTTACGACGAGCTGTACCCTTGCCGCCTATGCGGACCTGGTCGCTCATGTTCCGCAACTTTTCTAACTTTTCCAAACGTGCCTTCTCAACATCCATGGCTGTCCAGGCGAGAAAGGGCACAAAAACGACGAGAAGAGGGAGTGANTACTAGCAGTGAATGTAGTAACCAGAGAGGTTAGTTTGATGCCTGTTGTAACAAGGCTTCTGACATCACTGATTTTTCGTCGAAGCCTTGACTCGTAAGGATCAAGTGGAATTTCGACCGGGTAGAGGCTGTGTTGACCACATCTTCACACCCCGTCGGATGTTAGAGCAACGCTACATGTGCAGACGACCCACAATCCTGGTATTCCTTGACTTCAAGGGTGCATTTGATTCTGCTGATCGATCAGTGCTGTTAACCACACTTGCTCAACAGGGTATACCGCAGAACTTTTTAAACATAATCCGATCCCTATATTCACACACCTGTGGGAGGGTGAGCTGTATGGTGAGCTATCCCAAAGCTTCCTACATAAAGAGGTGTCGGACAAAGTTGTCCACTGAGCTCTTGTTCAACTTCCTCATTGATGAAGGAATGAGGTGAACGCTGGATGGTCTTCAAAACCCCGGTGTTGAAATCGTTGCTGGTGAGAACCTTGTCGATCTTGAGTACGCAGATGACATCGCCCTTTTGAATAGACTGACCACCATTATACCATCTTTCGGCGTGCACCTTGCACATTCAAAGCGCAAAGTCATGCTTCAGAACGTGCAGTCTTTGAACATATCCCTTAAAATTCAAGGAGAATCACTGGAGATTATGCAGAACTTTACATGCCTCGGTAGTTGTATTAGCTCTGAAGCTTGTCTTATGAAATCAGTGCAAGAATCTCAAAGGCTCGCATCATGTTTACTTGGTTGCGTCACTTGTGGCGTCAAAAAGGCAATCCTACGGGTCCTGTGTACCAGGCTACAGGCTATAGCGCGTGACCTTACGGAAAGGCGTGAAAGAAACCACAAAGTGTTTGGGTATTGTTAGTGTTGTACGCCTTCCAGAATGGGGTTCCCGTGACCCCTCCTGTGCTTGGTGGAGACGTTGCAAGAAATGGCGGCCAACCGATGTCATTGGCGTTGGTGATGTTTTTTCCAAATTGTTCGGTTGAGCGGCTGAAGGTGTAGGCACCTCAGAATGCTTGACATTGGCCAGCACTAGGTCCGCTCCCTCACCCACCCTTTTCCTCTTCTTTTCACTCTAGGGCTTTCAATGGGAACCTTAGGGTTGTACGGCAGTGATGTTCCTGTCTTTGATGATGATGGTCATTCAGACCTGCACAGTTAAATAATGTCGCACGACTAGGTAGTACCAAACCGAAGTCCATTCGGCAGACCAGTAAGCCAACGTAGTGGGTAGACTCCCTAGATAATTGCATATCCCGGAAGGCTGACTGAAGACGAGGGTCACTTTCGACGCCTGCGGCATCAAGTTGATGCCACTTTGTCTGCCAATGTCAGTACGCACCACGATTGTGCGGAAATGACGGAAACATACGAAAATATAGCTTTTGACCACCATCTACCTGAAATTAGCCAGAAAGCTTGGCAACCTCATAATCTACAACGCCGAGACGAGCCAGTTGGATTCAAGGAACAGGCCCGCAATGGGAACTAATGAAGAGCCATCGCTATGCTTTGCATCGCATGACGTTTTACCGGCAGCTTTCTAGTCAAAGTTAGCAGTCCATAACTTGGAACCACCGTACGAAAGCTTACTAGTAATGTCAGTCGAACTACCGTTCGCCTGGATAGACAATCCAGGACCCGGTTCGTCTGTTGAGTGACGATGACACACTTCAGTCATGTAATCAGCGTCAGTCACATGTTAAAGCAATTGCATCCGATTCAGTGCCGCTGTGTCTACAGTACGACGGACCTACAACGATTCCGCATATTAGGCTATCGTCTCTAAAGACTGGCCATTTCTCTTTTGGGCCTCCAATTAACCGTTTGGCATAAGATGCAGTGTCGTACAGCTAACTAGAAAGGGTGCGATGGGTGTTGTTAAAAAGAGCTGCCAACAACAGAAAGCCTGATATTTACGTACCGCTCATTTTCGACAGCCTGAGTTTGGCAGATTCCAGCTGGTTGAGCATGTTCGGGAATAGGTCGGTGAGTGCTAAAACAGTTAGAGTGAGCAATCAAGTCATTCTAAAAGTACGCTTTGTTTCCGCCTGCCCTGATACGGCAAACACGTTGGCTTGTGGTGAAGCTTGAACCTTCGGATTCTTGAAATGTATTAAAGTCCCATCGGCTTTATACATATTCACCTTAAGTCAGTTAACGCGACACTAAACTGAAAACATACCTCCTCAATCGTTGGTATGGTGTTGAGGTTCAGTTTTTTTAGCGTGCTTTGTAGCTTCTTATCATCGACAGCAGCGTTCTTGTGAATAACCTTCTTCTTACGACGAGCTGTACCCTTGCCGCCTATGCGGACCTGGTCGCTCATGTTCCGCAACTTTTCTAACTTTTCCAAACGTGCCTTCTCAACATCCATGGCTGTCCAGGCGAGAAAGGGCACAAAAACGACGAGAAGAGGGAGTGAGCCGCCAATGAACGGTACGAGACCTTGAAGGCTAGCTAAAACAAGCCCCGAGAGAGAGTTGTCTCGGACATAAAGCTGTCTTAGTTGAAAAGGAGGGGCAACACATATTTTATCGACCAATTCGCTGCATTTCTTCAGGGCATAGGGTTTTAAAGAACGCAATCACCAGCCAACAGTTAGCAGCGCGTGTTTGGAATTTTTCAAGTATCTATTCTCTCGGCGTTCGCCAGTATTCGCACAATGGAATTAAATGTTCGAGAGCTGTCGCGTGTCCCTGATGAAACGAAGCAATCGGGTAATCGATTTCACAATACAGTTCCAAACTTTTTAGCGTCTTGTAGGCATTCCGGAGTCCCAGTGATGCTGGGAAATTATTCCACCAGACTTTCCCGCCAACGGTACGATTGCTTCCCTGAACAACTAAATTTGCTAAGCTAGAAGGGCTTTTGGCTCGAAGATATATGCAACAAAATGCAACATCCTGGTGTAAAACGTTCCATTCCACTCGTAAATGTTTTGCAGCTAAGAGCATTTTGCTGCTAATAGGCCTAATGTTGGTGCGTCTCTAAAAAGAGAAGAACTGGAGGGTTCTTGAAAAACCGCGAAATTTTTGTTGTTTGAACGTTCAAGATCGTTCTAATGGCCTCTTCTGGGCATAAATTTGATAAAATGAGTAGGCTTCCGAAAGTCACAGACACCAAGTATGTCAACCCTCCGTTGATATCAGTTTCAGCTTTCTCACTATGCGAAGCTTGAAAATAAAGCTTGATTCAACGCAAAACATCACTTACCAACATTTCTTTGCCTACCGTAAACCCTTAGCCAAAAGATGTCGAAGGCGGGTATGCCTATAAAAATTGCGTGTGTAGGCTCCTGTTCATTCACGTGAACTAAATAAATATCCAGAAGTGATAAATATATTAAAACGTTCCCCGGAGAGGGGGGTCTGTGCGAACCAACACATGTATTCCCTCGTCGCGCTAATATTGGCGAGCGGGAGTCATGAAAATGTTGTGTATCACTTTTCCTGTCGCTCTAATTTATCTCTTCCATTGCATTCAGGGGTGAGATGACATCATGCACAAAAATTTTCAAATGAGTCAACTTGGCTGAACTGCTGTGTTATTTCCAGTACGGGGAGCTGCCTCGAAGTAAGCGATCCCTGTATAACTCTTACAATTGTGCCTGCCCTGACGGTGCTTGGCAGTATTTTTCTGCTAGTCCTTTAGTAAAACACGGACAACGTGGTATGGATTTGGTTGCTAAAAATTAAAATAAATACAAAATCAGCATCTCACAGCTTCTTCAAAAGCCCCAGTAAACCAGTAGAATATGCCCTGCTAGCTAATATAACCAACGGATTACATTGATGTCAGCAGACAAGAAGAAAAAATGTCTAGGCTTACGCAGTCATGAACAGGGGGCTGATTAAAAGTTCGATATTTTTGCAACCTAAATGATTTCATGCTGTTGGTAGTTCCACGGGCGAAACATGATTAGGCCACATAATTCTTGCTGTCCTCCCATGCTCCTGAGTCAAGATGAAACATTTAACAGGTGAGCCCCATAATATCCGGCATGCTGCGCTTGTGAAACACTGCCGAAAGTTACCTGGCATTCGTGGTATACTCAGTGCTCGGAAATAAGTTATTGAATGGAAAACTTTTTGAAACTCTGTCACATTGAACTGGGGTAGAAAGTCACATTTCCTCCTCAGAAGTCTTCTCGGGTGTGTGAAGGAGTCATTATTCTACTTACCCAACGCAACGGAGAACGGTGTCCGGGGATCAACCTCGTATCACACTGAGTGCCAACGATACGCATTATTGTAGTTCACAGTAAGTCAGAAAAACACGTAAGTAAGGACACGGGTATATTGCGTACATGCGGCCAACTCGTCCGTGACGGATAACCTAAAAACTTAGTCAGATACATCGTCAACCCTTATCCCTCGCGCGAGCAAATCAATTGGATACGCACTCACCCAGCCACTCAAGCCACACGCCAGATCGACGGTGGAACGATGAACGGATACACATGCGCAAACTCTGACGCGCCAAAGCAGCTACTACACCGAGCGAGCGGTATACCTACGGGAGGCGAATCAGCGTCTTTCGCACTGATCGTCACTACATACAAAAGCACTTTTACGTTTGCAGTGTTATCATCGTGCGTTATAAAACATCAGCTGAACCTTTGATAACTTCGTGGGGTAAAGCCCGACTGCTGAAATCTAGGATTATTAGCGGCAATCCTTAGGTGATAAGTGTTATGATGTTGCTTTGTGTAGCGTTTTGCCGAGGAGGATTAACCCATAGTATTCAAATCATGTGTGGCATGAATGGAGCTTTCTCAGGACGTCATCCAGTGAGTGACATTTGGTTTGCAGCAAGCATGTCACGAACCGATGGGAACCTCAACCCAAGCGGACGTTGGTTTTGAGTGTTCTTACGTTCGGTATTCTGGAAAATATTCCATACATTCAGACATCTGCAGTAGATTAGGATTCAGCTATAATGCCCCAGGACGCGGCTTACTGCCATGAAGTTACTAAGTAGAAATTCGCGCTTGCTGAGTTCTCCTAAATTTTCAACGTCGCGCAGCGCCACCATGGTTATCACGGGAAAAACGTGGAACGCATTCATTCTAGATTATTTGCCGAGTTTCTTTATATCAATCACGCTTGCCTCTGTATCTTTTGAATGGTCTTCATCTCGTCCTGGCGCAATTACATCGGAGAGTCAAACCAAAGATGGAAACACTTGAGTTGGGTTTCATTCCTTTTACGGCTCATCAGCAGCGCACGTTTTTAGCAATGTTGGGATTCGAACACACGTTTGAGGCAAGTGTCTTGATCTATGCTGAAGGTATTTAAATTTTACTTCGGATTGGGTGAGCATGTTCGAATTTAAGCGGTTTGGCTGGTTTAGTTTTCTTATCACCTGTGGCGGCTGAGCGGTGTTCTCATAACCTTGGTAGGCCACGTAACGAGCGGTTTCAAAAATACAGACTATCTGGTGCGCAACCAGTTGGTAGAACTTAAATGGCCTTGGGCGTTTTGAGCGATGACTTTTCCCCTTGGTTTGCTAAAGACCTGGACCAAGATGGCCGACCAAATAACCTGTACCCATTCAGCTGACTGGATTTAAAAACTCGCTGACCGCTATTTTCCCCCACAGAGATGGTACACGACCTAGCTAAGGACCCAAAAGTGATTCAGCCGGTTCATTCACTATTTCGTCAGTGTGTTTTGAGGGCCTATACTACACCGCACCTGATGATATCTTGCTGGCAATGGGGCCACCGTCATTTAAATAGAGTCCTGACGCTTGCTTGGCTTCACGTGCGTAGTCCGGGACACATTTGGTCTTTGTTCGTTCCGGTTCGGTCTAGATGCCTACAAACTGTGTGCTGGAACTGCATAGATTACGGCGATGAAAATAGCCAAACAGTAAGTTTTCAATTTTCTAGTGAACGAGTTGCAGCTGGAAAATATCCTCTTACAAAGGAGGTTCCAAAATCATGCACCTTTCTCTGGAAGTTATGTACGCAAACTGGCGAAAATAGTATTATCTCTGTCTCTTTCTCGGATCAATACAAATAAAGCGATTCAAGACTAAGTGAGGGTGGTCAAATAAAACGATGATGCTGAGTACTAGTAATAAGCTTACTTCCCAACTTGTGGGTAACATGCAAAACGACGCATGATCGGGTCGGTACAAACTGAACACGGTAGGCAACAACCCATTGGGGAGGAAGGTAAAACCAAAGAGGCATGGTTAGCACATTAAAAGTCACCGCAGTTTTTGGAACCAAAAAATCTAGGACAGTTCATTGATGGAGCCGGCTGACGTGAAATAAGACCGAAAATCACTGCTTGCCGTGAGTGAACTTGGGCACTTAAGCAAGTGACCAGAGTCACGAAAGTAAAAATGGGGATAGAGATGAATGAATTGGAAGTAGAGACAAGTATCAGATTTTGTCTCAAAAAATGGTTTACACTGAAACTAAGTGGACTCAATGGTGTCATTGTCGTAAGGAAGATAGGTGAAAAATATAAGCTCGATGGAGGGATAGTAACGATGCAGAGGGTTGAAAAAACGTAAACAAAATTGAACTTGTGGAAGGGGCATACCGAAATTTCTGTAGAAGCCGTTAGACTAAACCCGAATGAAAGGTTCATCCGCTTAGAATGAACTCGTCCTAGGGGTGGTCGGGGCTGGGGGAACTTTTCCCCTAGTTACAATTACAGGCTGGAGCACATGACAGGTGACGGTAGAAGGGAGGCGAAAATGGTTGCGGGAGCTTCATTAAACTCGTTAACGCGGTGCCATGCCACAAGTGGGCTTATATACTTCGGTTTCAGGACAGTCTCGTAACTGTCGTCATGGCTGCCATAGTCGGGGAGAGGATACGCATTTCCGTAGCAGCTGGATCTGGGTGAAACGAGGAGATTGACCCAGAGTCACGTCAGTTTAAAGTCAGGGATAATTTCCATTTACGTGGAGGACCGTGTGGATGTGGACCGGGGACCAGCCAGATCGAATGAAAAACGGTTGTTCGGGGCGCTTGGAACAACTACAGCCGAAGTTCGAAGCTTGAGACGGAGGGGGTTGGTGAAGGAATAGGATTCTGGAGGAGTTTCACTCAGCCTTAAAGCTACTGTTACTCACGTCAATCAGTCACATAGAAAAGCTCCTCAGGATGAGCCAGATGCCTTCCTCTGCGAGTCAACTCCACCCAGATGTCGGACAAGAGGGGCGAACCCTGTGTCATCCCCATAAAACTCACGCAGTGTTATGTGCCCTGGCAGTCGGATGAATGGGAGTTTTGAGCAGCCTTACACTACCGGTAGTTAGAGTAGTACGTGAAATTCTTACTTGGATGTAGGTCTACCTTGCTATCGCATCGTTCCTAAAGTACTATGCAAACTTCATCCGTCGTCCTTTATCTTCTGATACGAGATAGTGCATTTGATGTTAATTACGACGGTGACTGCTTTTGGAC